GGGTATCTTATAGTAGGTAGCATTCCAGCTGGTCACGTGCCCTGTCACTGTCTTACATCAAAAAGTTGGCAATTTTTGTTTTCATTTATATGTTTCAAGATAAAATGTTTACGGTATGTATTATTTTTTATTATTGTTTCCTTGCTTTAATTCACCTTTTCAATGAAATGACCAGTTACTGCTTGTCTCAGTCTCAGCTGGGGTAAGAGGGCCTCTACTCTCCTGTGAGAGCAGCCCTGGAACGCAGCATCTCAGTGAGCCTGGGGCAGCCAGAGCACATCAGGCTCCTAAATGGAGCACAGAGGACTGAACGGTGGCTAGAAAGGGGAAAAAAAAGAAAACTTTCCTTCAGAGTTTGGCCATTGGCCAGCCCTGCTTAGGTCTTTATAAATTGAGATAATTTTAATAGGAATGTATATTTCATTAATTTAGAGTGCTAAACAGTTTACGGTGACTTACTGCAAAGTGATGAAAGGTGATCCCCATTTACTAAAACATTACACACACACACACCAGAAATACAGCAGGCTGTATATTTAACCTTCCATTAAAGTGGGACTCTGTACACCATGGTCTGCTCACTGTGACCAGTTCTAGTTTTGGCCCTGCTGGAGGCTGTGGTTCTGAGCAAGACATAGGACCTCTCTGGCCTCAATTCCATCAAATCTGAGAGTTGAGTTTCACTACACCATATCAGTCTTAGGGCCACCATAATAAAGCCACAAACTGGGTGCCTTAAAAAACATAAATTTATCTTCTGACAGTTCCTGAGGCTAGAAGTCTCAACTCAAGGTGTTGCAGGGTTGGTTCCTTCCAAGGGGTGTGAGGGACAATCTATTCCATTCCTCTTTCCTACTCTCTGGTAGCCTCAGGCAATTCTTGACTTGTAAACCACGTTCTCTCTGTGTCTTCACATGATCTTCCCTCTGCACAAGACTCTGTGTACATATTTTCCCTTTTATAAAAAGGACACTAGTCATACTGGATTAGAGCCCACTCTACTAACCTCATTTTAACTCGATTACCTATATAAAGACACTCTTTCCTAATAAGGTCACGTTCTGAGGCACTGGGGGTTAGGACTCTAACATATCTGTGGGGCAGACACAATGAAGCCCATGACAACCCTTGAAGTCCTGTTCTGAACCTACTGCTTTCTTGAGCACTGCTGCTTAGATGCCAGTATCTTAAAAGTCCCGACAAGAAGACTAGATTCCCCAGCGCATCTGGGCATTATGCCAGGGACTGAGGTGGCAGGCAGCAGGATATTCACGTGGTGATGGTAGTGACGAGCAAATTATGAAGCTGGAGGTTAGTCAAGTAGGTACGGTGGCATGTCTTGGACTTTCATTTGAAAATCAGCCAGACTGAACCTTCCTCTGAGGTCCTTTTCTTACAAGCACGTATTGATCCATTGCTTCAACATTGCACAGATTCTTACATTAGAAAAACCATTTTTTTTGTGGAGAACAGAAACCTTTCTGTAGGATGTTTCTAGGAAATCCAGGGAGACTTGGGTCTTTGTCCTCTCCTCAGCTATTATGTGATGAGAATGCCTCAGGTTATTCTCCAATTTTGGTCTCCCTTTCTCTTTTCCAGCCAAATTGCAATCAGTATAAATTACCAGGATGTCCCAGAGACTTTAGCCCCATTTGTTGAAGTGACATGTCCACTTATCTCAGTGAGTGTACTCTGTGCATGAAAATCTGGTAATATATTTTTTCTTCCTTTATGTACTTATAAAATATGTCCTCTTTTCCTTCCTTCCAGTTTTATTGACATATAGCACTGTCTAAGTTTAAGGTGTACAGCATAATGATCCGATTTACACACATCAGGTAATATAATTTTACAGAGTAGACTAGCCAAATTTTCATTAGTTCTTTTCTTGCATTACTTAAGAAGTAGTGACTCTTTTGTTGGATATAAGAATCAAACGTGACATAAGTAGTTCTGTTTTAATACTGATATCTAAAAAGACACAGAAATCCTTCAGTGCTTTTTCTAGGTCAAAGTTAGAGAATGAGGTATGTAATTAATCAATTGTAGACCAGATAATTAACTGATGTTACTATCCAGGGATGGGAAGTTTCCCAAAATTAAGAATATATTAGAGGGGGAGAATATAGCTAAAGTGATACAGTGCATGCTTAGCATGCACAAGGTGCTGGGTTCAGTCCCAGTACTGCCTCTATAAATAAATAAATGAACCTAATTACCTCCTCCACCCTCCCCCCCCAAGAATATACTTAATAGCTAAACTGTGTGAAATAACAAGTGTTATTTTAAATTCAGAGGACATGTGTAGGTGACCCACACACCTTGCACTAGTAGTCAGAAAACAGGTCTTAATAAGTCTCCCTGGTAGAATGCGCAGTACAAGTGTATTACACCTGATGTCCTCCCACGTAGCACACCTGACCAGCTCAGATGGCCGTGACTCCTCCTCCAGGTGAGCTGCTTTGTGTTTCAGGGCTCGGTTCTCTGACCTCGATGAGTTACTAGGCCCTCTCTGAGTGACTTCGGGGGTAGCTCCCTATGCCCTGGGGTGATGGAAACATGGTAGAGTTGGGCTTTCACCCTCACTGTTTCCTGGATTCAGCTTTAAAAATGATTAAGTAAGCATCACCCTGGAAGAATCTAATGATAATGACATGAGTCTGTTAATACAAATAGTGGAACAGTTTCAATATGGCAGGTAACATTGTAATATGGTGGCCCTGAGCAGGGCCCCCATATGTGCCTCAACTGCACATTAATTATTTTGAATTAAAGTTACTTAAGACCAAGCCAATGCAAAAGGGACACTGACTCTCCTCTCTGTTTGCCTGAAAGAAAGAAATTAATCTCTTGTGAAAGGTGCACTCCTTTCATCTGAAGGTAGAAGGACAGTCTTATCACCAGAGATAGGGAGTTCAGAACCGAAAAGCTTGGATAAACAAACCTTGTTACTTCATTTATTTACTACCTGGAGCTGAAACTCTGTTGAGATTCTTTACTAATTAAGCACCCCAAAAAAAAGTTTGTCTTGTCAATTCCTCACAATTTTATTGGTTTTTCGTCTCAAAAATATAAAAGCTGCCTGCTTTGGTCACTTACTAGGTCTCATTTCAAGGAGACCTCTGCGTACACGAATAAAAATTTGGTTCTTTTTCTCCTGTTAGCCTGTCTTGTGTCCGTTTTATTATTAGTCTAGCCACAAGAATTCAAGAGAGTCGAGGGGGTATTTCTTCTACCCCAGCAGCTGGTGAGCCAGCCAGGAGACTGGCTGGAGCTCACTTTCCATCCTGAGGCTACTGCAGCTGAGAGTTCCTGGGACATCTGATAAAGATCAGCAGAAGTTAAGATTTCTTACCACATCAGCATCCTAGATCTCTGCCTGCAAGGTCTTGTGGAAGGTAAAGTGGAGAGAGTCCCTTTCCTCCCTCTCTAAATTTAGATTAGCAGGAGAAAACATTTGTTGAGCCAGTTCCTTAAACTTAGCAACTCTTGAGAATTCTTTTCTTCCTAGAGATGGTCACTGTTTTTCTTAGTCTCTGTCTATCGTGTTGTTTGCCATAAGGAGGAAGAACCATAGGGCAGAATGCAGGCACAGGCCCTATAAACCTACTGTCTGAGCCAGTCTCACAGACTAGCGAGTTGATGGTTCACACTAGACCTGCATCTATTTAGACAAAGTTTGCTGTGGCTTTTCTATGTAAAAACCAGATGAGGTTCTTCCTTCCATTTTGTTTCATGTCTTGAGAGCTTGGCTTTGTGTCCAGTGAGAATATTCTCCCTGGTCTATGCCATTTGGAAGGTACATTTGGTAGCCCGTTGAATAGACCGGGGTGCTTAGACACAAAGTTAGCACTCTGTTTGGCCATGCCAGCTCTCAGGGTGGTTGGTCTTAAGGGGTCCCAGTTCATAAGGAGCTGGTGTTGTCTCAAACTTTGTTGCCTTACTTTCTTTGACTGACCATGGGAGTGAACTTTCTGGATCATGTGAGGGCTATATACTCTTGTGAGATGACTCTTGTGTCTTTGGTTAAGCCTTAAGAAAGGCTGATTGGTTTGGGTCACTATTTAAATTAATATTAAAGATCCTACTAGTCAATGGCCAGACAAAGAATCCTTTAAATTGGCTATATTTAAGAGGAAAACACTTTTGAGAATTCTCATCATAAACAACTGTTGTATTGGTACTTACCAGAAGATCAAATTAAAAGGAAAAAATAAAGTGTAAGACCAACATAAATTCCCCTTCTAAAAAAAAAAAAATTGCCCATCTCTTCAGTAATTCTCCAAGCTCGCCTACAAATAAAGAGGAAACAGATCAACTGGAAACCAATATTCAAGGGCTAACCAAAACAACTGTTTTTGCTTCCAAACCTCTACAAAACCAGAAACACAACAAACCAAAGCCCACTTATCTTTACCAATCCCCAAACCTTGCCTATTCCTCTCAAAATGCTTCTAGATATTATAAAAGATCAGAATATTGGAGCAAAATTATCCTATACTTTAAAAATTGTTTTAAAATAATAATTATCCTAAGGCTTATGATAATAGACAAATAAATATACTCCAAAACTCCTAGGAGAAAAGTTACATTTTCTTTCTCTGTCCCTTAAAGCTATAAATCTTATTATGTCTTTGAAATATCAACATAGCCCACCTTGCTTAAGACTGAGCCTAGATTAGCTGAATTGATAGAATTTGAAACCAAAAAAAAGGGAAAGGGGCCTTTTAAAACATAGACTGCTAAAAGGATTCTTTTGCCCAAATTCTAGGAAATTACAACCTCTCTACAATTGCTTGTCTAAGGCAAATACAGATCTTAAGTCTTCTCCATAAATAATAAACGTTAGCCATCTGAACAAGTAAACTTGATTCATTACAACTTTGTTTATAAACTAGTGAGTTTTGTATTGTACCTGATTCATGACTAAAGTTTTTTGTTGTTGTTTTTTCATGACTAAAGTTTTAAAATGAAAACCAAAAAAACTCTGGTTATGTATATGTCTGTATGGCTATGCTATGGATGTTCTTCTGCCTCTAGATGGTACTGCCAAAATTAACTTGTAGAAGAGCTCTATTTAATTGTTTTTTGTTTAAACAAATTGTTTGTTTACAAGAACTTACATTAAAATATAATAAAAACTAAACCAAATGTTTTTCAAGTTCTAGGATAATCTTTAGGAAATAAAAACTAATTTTGAGCTCGTTCATTTAATCAGTATTTGGATGTCTTCAGAGTTATCAGTATTCAATATAATGCAGATAAAAAATTTTGTTCTACTTGAGTTTACTTGTCTAGTGGGTTTATGTTGTCTCTGTCACAAAGAAAGAAAGGAAGAAAGGAAGGAAGGAAGAGAGAGAAAGAAAGAAAGGAAAGAAAGAAAAAGAAGGGAAGAAAGGAAGGAAGGAAGAAAGAGAGAGAAAGAAAGAAAGGAAAGAAAGGGAAGAAAGGAAGAAAGAAAAGAAAGAAAGAAAGAAAAAATCTTAAGATAATGACTGCTTTGTTGACTCATGAAATTTTCATGAGTAATCTATGTACGATTGTTAAGAACAAATGAATTAACTAGATGTAAATGAGGTAAGAGTTTTTAGCTGAGATTTTCAAAAACAATTGTCTTATGATTTGTATACTTAGTTTCCTAATTCTCTTTGGTAATTTAATTTACACCCTTAGAGTTTTGCTAAGTTAAATTAAATGATGGGAATTCACTGGGTGTCTATATCATTTCTAAATAAGATAATTAAGTGGGAAGGTATAGCTCAGTGGTATAGCACAAGCTTAGCATGCACAAGGTCCTAGGTTCAATCCCCAGTTTCTCCATTAAATATAAATAAATAAACCTAATTATCTCCCCCCCCCAAAAAATCCCAAATAAGATAAAATACTGAAACATTAATCACTAAACAAGTCTAAGTTTACCTACTTTTGATGTCTTATTACAGAGGAACTAAATATGTTTGGGTCTATTAGTACATATATTTTCCATTTTACTGAAAATATTATGCTATAAAGTAAAATATATTTCTAGAAATTATAACATGTGTTTATAAGTTCGCTAAGCCACAAAATATTAATACAGTTCACAATTATTTACTTCTTTATTTCCCCCCAAATTAAGATTTTAAAAGATTAAGAATTCCAATTAATATATTAACTATACTAAAATTAAAAGTACTAGAAATAATAAAAGAAATAAGATGTGTTTGGGGGTAAGTAAAGGTATGGAGGTGCTTTTGTTAAGGAAAAAAAAGAAAATGATTTTGTCCTAAAGCTGGTTATTTCTAAATGGGAAAGAAAACAAGGGAGGTATATGTATATGTATATGTATATGTATATGTATATGTATATGTATGTGTATGTGTATGTGTATGTGTATGTGTGTATGTATATACACACACACACACACACATAGAAAATTATAAAAAGGTTTGTAAAAAAAGGACTCTTTAGAAAGGAATTTTATGTGGAATCAGGAATGGCTAAGTTTGGAATTTAATTAAGTAAATGAGTTTTAATATCAAAAGTAAGTTAGTACAAAATTAAATTTGGTTTTTCTCTCTGTTCAAAGAACAAAGCTTTCTTACATTGCTCTGGTCTTAAGAGGAAATTATAAAAAAAAGGATTTCTTTACCTTTAATATAATCTGTCTAGAAAAACAAAGATTCTATATTTTGTCTTTATCAGGTTTTTAATCAGTTAGAAGACAAAACAAAGTCTTTTCAATACTAAAATAGCTAAGGCTTTTTATAACTATTCAACTTTCTGTATTTGCCAGGGAAATCTTAGTCACTTTGATTAAATGGACAGCTAAGTATTGTTTCACAGTGACCTATGATCCTATTTGACCAAGTGTTTTAAAAACTTCTGGTATTTTTGACAAACTTCCCAAAAAAAGACTTACCGACCTGGAAATAACTTTGGAGATTTCCAGAGGGTCCCTGGAACACCTCAAAAAAATTACTTTCTCTCATTTATAACAGAGATATTAAACTTATCAAGCTTATTTAGTAGGTTAAATTATAATGGGAAGCATTGTGAAATAAAGGAGGATAAACCTTCTTATGTTATACTGTATGGGTAAGTATTATTAATATAAATGTTATAGAAAATACATGAAATTCCTAGAATTTGGATATGTCCTAGTATAACGTTAGTCATAGTTCTAGTTATTATCTTAAAATGATATGTCTCAGAGATAACCAAACTTCATTATCAGTTCCATTATAATGAATCAAATCTTTAATAATGGACATTTTAAAGTCTTTTATCATTTATACACAGTCATTGTTTCATGCAGATGCTTTTACAAAAGATTCCTGCAAAAAAGTGTTTTATCTTCAGGGAAATTCATGGAAAGGAATCTAACAAATATGCTAGAATATAAGTTTCTGATGACTTTCAAATCATACCTGGGTAAGAATTCACAGAACTCTAATAGAGAAACTGATGGCTTCATAAAATTTCTAACAAAAGATCAAGCGAAGCAAGAATTAATTACATAGGACTAAATAAACTGAGGGAGATAATTATAATGTTTTATGATTTTTTAAAATTTGAAACATTGCTTTTCTCCTAAATGTTTTGTTTCTCCAGATTTAAGGAAAACATTTCTCTTTTCTCTTACGCTTACTATGACTTAGAGCAGTTTGGTACAATATACTTTTGTAAGCAGAATTGAATCATTTATCTTTTTCTCTCTTCTGGATTCCTCCAGAATTCAGAAACTATCAGTGAGTATTCTTATTTTCTTGGCAATAGAGTTATTTGCATACGTTCAGTAAGAATCTGTTCTCCTTATAACAGGACACAAATGGAAACATTGATCATGTTATCAAAGCTTTGACTGGAATGTCATATTTGACAGAGATGCATAGACTCAGATATGACCAGACAGCTTTGAGAAACTAAGGTTGACTTTACAGAGCCAATAAAGCTCCTTAGAAAAACAGCTTTCAGGGTTCACAGCAGCCTTACTAGGTGAGTAAGGAAGGTTACTTCCTGGCAGGCCCAGGACACTGAGGATATTTTGGGGACCTCGTGAAGAGAGGAATTCACCCAAATCCGTGCCTATTGCAGGCAAAGGCTGATGGTCAATGTGTGGCTTTGTTTCTTAGCCTTGAGAGGCTATTGAAAATTTAATCTGAGATTCCTTATAAGAAGTTCAAGCAAAGCAGATTTAAAACAGCCTATATGGTCAATTGCTATTCTTACCGTACTTATGTAAACAACCAGGCCAAGTTTATTGAATCTAGACTTCTTTTGCAAACAAATTAGTCTAATTTGGCTACCTTTGGTAAAAACAGTGGGTAATTACAGAGAGAAAAACTGTGTTTCGGCAGAAACTAAGATACACACTTGTAGATACCAGATCCTAGTTCTGTTCATCGTCTTTGAGGTTTTTGTTATTTACCTGTAAACTAGACTGTATCGTCAATTCTTCTAGTATTCTCTAGTGTCTAGCTATGACTCTCCAAACTAACTTTTCCAAATTTCTCCTGTTCTTTTGATTTGGAATCACTGAGAACTAAAATTGCCCTTCTTTTCCTGAAGCTCTGCAAACTGAAGCTAGACAACTTGATACAAACTTAAGGGAAATTGCTGCAACAGCTCATGTTTAAACAACCTTTGTGCCTGTTGCTGTATGAGCCAGAAAGTTTACCTAAACACCTGATGACATCATCAGATATTTCAAATTGCAAAAGATCCTTCAACTCTAACATCTAGAAATCTTAACTGACTGCCCTCTGGGCTCAGAAGTGGGCTTACAATCTGCTCCAATCATTAACTTCTGTTTTATTTTGTTTCCATAGATATGCTTCTTATTAAATACATGATTGCTTGCACCATAGACCCGACTTTGGGAACCCATCTGCATTACCAGCTCCAGAAATAAGTTTAACTGAACTGACCTATTGTCAAGTCTAAGAGACTGGTTCAATGAGATGGAAAACACTATCAGCTCAACTTTTAATATGTGAAACTTTCAGGGAAGTTTCAAAGGAAGTAACTGTTGAGGCCCAGGGAAGGGCACCCCAAAATATGCCTCAATGGCATATTAATTATTTTGAATTAAAGTTACTTAAGAAAGATCCAGTGCAAGAGGGACATTTTGACCCTCCTCTCCGTCTCCCTGAGAGCAGGAAATAAATCTCTCCTAAGAAAGGTTCACTCCCTGCATCTGGAGGGAGGACACTCTTATCACCTAACAGAATTCAGAGCTGAAAAGCCTGTATAAACAAGCTTTGTTAGTTTAATTTACTACCCTGAGCCAAAACTCTGTTTAGATTCTTTACTAGTTAAGCACCCAAAGCATAAGTTTCTTTCCCTGTCAATTCCTCACAGATTTATTGTTTCTTATTCTAAAAAGTATGAAGCTTGCCCGCTTTGGCCACTTATTAGGCCCCATTTCTGTAAGACCTCTGTGTGCCATTATTAAAGTTTCTTTTCCTCCTTTTAATCTGTTTTATGTCCATTTTATTATTAGTCCAGCCACAAAAACTCAGGAGGGGTAGAGGGGGAAATTTAATAATAAATGTGTTTTTATGGGGTTGCTCAATTTGCAGGGAGGATGGCCATGATATTAAAGTAATTCGAAGTGGACCATGCTGATGGAGCAGCTTACAGAAGAGAAACTGGATAACACACCTTCAACTGCACACTAGATGAACTTCATTTTCCCTTTCTCTCTTTTCCTGTGTTTCTTTGCATACAATTTGTTAACCCACATTTTCTGAAGTGAGATGTGGGAGAAAGCTACAGGCAGTGACTAGTAATTAAAACAACAAAAAATCCTTGTTTTTGGCTTTTGCCACTTGAGTTATTGTGAGGATGACCTGTGTGTTGCTTTATTTGGTTGGAATAAACTCAGCAATGCTTTCAATTATCACTGTTCCCTGTTGAATATCTGTTGTCACGTGGCTCCTTTTCTCTGAGGCAAAGATGAATTTCACTAAGGGAGGAGTGGAGTCACTGTTGAGGGTAAGGTTTATTCCCCTCCATCTCCCTGAATCTTGGATATTTAATGTATGTGTAACTGGTACAGGGTTCTGCACAGGGCAAATATTGGCCATCTGTGTTACGTTCTTTGGAGAAATGTCTATTCCAATTCTTACTCACTTTTTAATTATGATATCTGTCTTTTTTGTTGAGTTTTAAGAATTCTATATATATTCTAGACACAAGTCCCTTATCAAATATATGATTTGGAAATATTTTCTCTCTGTTTTCTCTTTTCGCTATATTGATAGTGTCCTTTGTCAAAAAAAATAGTGTCCTTTGACTAATGAAAGTTTTTAATTTTGAGAAAATCCAACTTACCGATTTTTTTGCCTGTCATTTATGGGTTTTGGTGCACACGTAACATACCACTGCCAAATACAAAGTCATGAAGATCTGCACCTCTTCTAAGACTTATCATTTTAGCTCTTACATTTAGGTTTTTGATACATTTTGAATTAATATTTGTATATGGTATGATTTTCTTCTTTTGTTCACTTGGGATTTTTTGCACTAATTTTGATTTGCTAGAATATTATATTATTATACTATTCATCTTGATTGCTGGGTTTTTTGACACTCCTTACTTGCCTTACCTTAATCCTGTCCTACAAGGGCCTTGCTTTATAAAACCTTCTAGTGAAGGTTCTTTGGAAGGTTCACCTACTGCATTGTGAATAGGAATCAGTTTTTAGAAATTTTTCATGTAACTTTTCAGGAACCCAGTTAGTTTATTACAAAAAGGCACACCTCTCCTCTATGTTCTTTCTTGGTGTTTTAAAGCCTGTAGATGCAACCAAGAGCCTCCAATAACATAGGGTTGGGTCTGCAACTCCAAGGCTACCATCACTTCTCGCCCAGCTCCTAAACTCCCTACCAGCCAATGGGATTTCTTCATTCTGAAGAGTACTTTGTTTAACCCTGAGTGAAAATTAAAGTTATATAAAAACAAAACAATTTTTATGTCTCCCTATTTTACTTTACTTTCATCCCAGCCCCTGTTATTTACTCAAAGTGCTTTTTTTAAAAAAACAAACTGACAGAAACCGATACTGCAGGATATTAGAGCCCAAAACAAACAACTATATTAAAAAAAAAAAAAAAGCACCTAGGTCTAGCAGGGCCCTGGTACAGAGGACTCTGCTGGACCATGTCAGAGTATATTCCCCCAAACGGCCAGGAATTAGCCTCTACTCTGATGCACAACCTGGGCCTCTGGCATTTTCCACCCTATATCTCCCAGAACCCAAGCTGGTTTGAGATACCACAGGGGTAACCTTTAAAACTAGTCCCATGTTGGGTCCAGAACAAACCATCTAGACACAGAATCAGCCTGAGAGGTCAAGCTGCCTGGGGTTGGGCAGTGAAGCCTTGACAAGCACCAAGCTGGCTATTCCTCCCAAGGCAGAGCACACTGCACCCCTAGAGGCCAGGAGTTCAGTCCCGTTATTGATTGACGTGTTGGATTAGCAGCTGCAAGTCGAGGGTACTCTGTACTTCTCCAAATCAGCCACAGGCTTTGTGTATGGATCTTGTCATGATGTATAAAACTGTTCACATGGTAAGGTCATAGGGTGTTCTTGCCCCTCCTGCTAATGCAGGAGACCAGCCCGAGAAATCATATATGTATGTGTAACAATCACTTAGCTGTATACCTGAACCTAATGTTGTAAATCAGCTACACTTCAATAAAAAATAAAATAAAATTCATTTTATTTTTTAAATTTAAATTTTTTTTTAATTTTATTTTTTGGGGAGGTCATTAGGTCTATTTATTCATTTATTATTAGGTTTTTTTTTTTTGGAGGTACTGGGGATTGAATCCAGGACCTTTTGCACGCTAAACATGCATTCTATCATTTGAGCTATACCCTCCCCTGCAAATTTATTTTCTATTATGAAAAAAATGCAAAAAAAAAACCATGAAAAGGGTAAATAACTTTTTTTCATAAAGGTTCTGATGATTTCAGTTTAATCAACATTAGCATTTTGAGTAGAAGTTCTAGAAACTAGCAAAATTAATCCACTTTACTAATATGGGTAACCCTGCAAAGTCAACATCTATATTCCAAGGATGTTAAGTTTTATACTTCATCACTTTCTTAAGATGTAAGAAAAAAAGTTAATTTATCACAAGTAAATAAAGACTATGCATGTATCATATGCTCTGAGTTTATACGAAATAATTAAAATGGATTTGCATTAATGATCTGTATAGCCATTTCATGTGCCCTCTTCTTAGTTCAGGTCAGAAGTACAGAGTCCAGAAAACAAAGAAAAGATAAATTCATGTAACAAGAAACATGCTCTCATCTAATCAACAGAACACAGAAAAAGTAGACCTAACACTTCAATTAAATTTACAGAAAATCCTAATTACTATTCTCCTCAAGAGACTGAGTATTCCAAGGACCCTGGCTGACTTCATATCTCCCCCTAACACCTGTCAAAAACAGCGGAGGAGGATATAGGTCAGTGGTAGAGTGTGTGCTTAGGATCCATGAGGTCCTGGGTTCAATCCCCAGTATCTCCTCCAAATATAAATAAATAAATAAATAAACCAAATTACCTCCCCCTCATAAAACAAAACAAAACAAAGAAAGCCTAATTACCCCCCTCACCCCCCACAAAAAAAACCAGATCAAACCAAATAACATATACTGACTGTTGTGGTCACCAATCCATCCCCAAGCCAAATATACCAAGTACTTTTTGCTGAAATGATTAAGAATCTTTTCTGTACTAAGTTCTACCCCACCCTTCATGATCAGTTTAAGTCTCTCCCATCTTTTCCTCTAGGCTCTGATATCCCACGTGAGAAATCTCTTCCTCCAACAGTGCTTATGATACTGGCATTTTGAATATGCTACATTACAATATTTATCACTCCTGTTTTGCAAAAATCATGAAGAGAAAATGTCATCAAGCATAAAAAAGACATTTTTATACCCACTTTTCCAACACAGTGCCAGAAGACCCAATGACTTTTGTTCTTAACAGCAAAAGCCTATGCAGCATCTCCAATCAGAATGAGAATAATACACCAGCTTTTAAAAGCTTAGTTACAGAAAAGAGGGACTGAACTGGCTAGAAATAATGACCTCTCCCTCTAACTCTACTTCTGGGGCTCTCCCCGCCCCACTTTGTTGTTCAGTTTTTCCTGTCTCTCAAGGCCCATTACCTCTCAAATAAGGGGACAGTCACTACTCTGGACTACATACTTCTTTACAATCACTCATGTAAAACTAGATTCTAAAATTACATCCTTGCTATGATTTTAACAACACTAAAAACATGCATATGTGAAAAGAAAGAGTACAATGAACCTAGAAAAATTAAAATAGCTGGTATGTTTGGGTGATTATCTCATTATTTCTTATATTGTTGTGATAATGCAACAAATAATCAAGAGAAAAGTACTTCACATACTTTTCTTTTTATGACTCCTTACACTGTGAAAGAAAAAACTGGGGATTTCTGAAACAATATAACTATTTCTGGCTCGATTCTCTTAGTAGTTCATCATATTTCTGCATTCTCTGTTCCCAGCTATTAAATACCTACTATCTGAATAAGGATTAGGGTTTTGCATTACTTGCAAAAATGTATCTCTCCATTAGATAGAATAAATTAGTTGTTGATTGACGATGTTGGAAGACTGCTAAAAATATCTACTAATTTTTTTCTTTTTTTAAATTTCAAATCAATACCCTTATTTTACTTTTGTTACTTTATCAGAATTACTTGTCTTATCAGTTCTTCAACTTCTCCAACTAGCATGTTGAGCTGCAGCTTGTAAGTCTATAGGTGGAGCAACTTCCACAATTCTTTGAACAGATATCTGTTCATCCAAAGAATCCAGCTGTTGTCTGACATCAAAATGGGAACTGAGAAAATAGCTGAGTTCATAATCAGTTACAACTCAGTGATTCTGCTAGCACACTTCCCCATTTTCATTATTATGAAAGTCAACAAACACTAATCATTATAAGCCAAACACTCTACACCCATCACTACATAAAATAATAAAGGTATCCAAAAAAGGGATGAGACTAAGAATACTTTCTTTATAGAACTTATTGTTAAGTTTGAGGAAATGAGACTTATTGGTAAAATATTTAAAGCACAACTTAAGAACTATAAGAAAGTTCTAATTTACAAATGTCCTTTACAGATCAATTTCATCCAGCCTCTTTGAAACATTTCTCTAAAAACAATGTCAGGAGAGAAAACTAAAGAAAATGCATAGTCAAAGACAAAAATAAGTACAACATGGGTGGACATTTAGGTTAGTATGCTGAGTAAAACAAGTCAGATGGAGAAAGATAACACATGATTTCACTCACATGTGGAATCTTAAAAAAGCCAAAAAGCCCAAACCAACCAATGAACAGAAGAATAGAAAAATAAACCCACAGATATAAAAAACAGATTAGTGGTGACCAGGGGAGAAGGGGGTTGAGAAGTAGGCCAAATGAGCGAAGGTGGCCAATTGTATGGTGATGGATAGTAACTAGACTGTGGTGGTGATCACTCTGTTGTATATGCAGATATTAAACTGTATATGATGCTGTATTCCTGAAACATATCATTTTAAAAAGGGATTTTGAAAAAGATAAAAATAAGAACTCTAACTCGAATGAGAGGGAGGATGATGACATCAATGACTAAAATAAGGAATGTATAAGAATTTCAATTTTAGGTTAAAATTATTCTATTCTGAGTATGTTAAAGGTAAGATGTGAATAAGTCATTCAAGTGAAAGCATTCAGCAAATGACTGATGACAACAGATGGAGCAAGGGTGAGCGATCAGAGCTAGTAGCATGGATAAAGAAATCACACAGTGAAGCCCTAAGGAAGGATGGAGAATCTAAGAGTGTAGATGCATTGTTTATAAGGAATAGACACTTGTTCATGTGAGGGATGGGTAAGGAAATATATAATAAAGATACAAGTGGATATAAGTGCAAAAGGCATCTCTCCCCACACCATCACCCAGGAACAGCTGCATGGCTGGACTTAGTTTTTACTCTTATCTCCTTAGTAACTGACTCCCCCAACCTCACATCAATTTTCTGAGACAACGTGCATAGCCCAAATAATCATCAGCCTCCCAATTTGGCATCATCAGATCACCTCATAGGTCACTGGCCTGCCTATAGAGTGGCTAGCTTTGGGTCAAGGTCCCACCCCGATTCAATCAACCATGGCCACCAATATTAGAAGTTAGGTCCTACGGTGGAGAACACAAAACACAATCATCCCTGGAAAAGGTACAGCCTTGAGAATGATGGGGGCAATTTCCTTCTGTAGAGACTGTGAGCTAACAAGAAAGAAATTTCTCAAACCATTTAAGTCACCCACTGATATGTAAGAAGAATACGGAAAGCGCTGTCTATAAGATAAATAGCAATGGTTTTTATGGACAATTTATAATGAAAAATCTTTACAAAACTATGGACAAGTTTCATTCTCCCAGGAAGATGAACCATAGCTACTTTCCCTAAAATCAGTAGAATGGTAGTACTTCACTAGAATGCTATCCTTTAAACAACTGACTATATGAATAGCTCATATTTATAGTATCTACTATCGTGCCTGTTG